CGAAACTCTGTCTCAAAAAAAAAAAAAAAAAAAAAAAAAAAGAAGTTTCCAAATATTTTTTATGACATGGAGAAAAGCTTATGAACATTGTATGGTATAATCTGAACTACATTTTTAAAACTATAAATGCTAACAGATTATTCTGAATTGTGGGAATTGGAGTGATTTTTGTTTCTGCTCTACATTTCTCTGCACTTTCCTTTTTTTTTTTTTTTTTAAAGCGATGAGTATGTACCACTTTTGTAATCAGGAAATACATTGTGCTGGGCTTGCAGAAATGAGCCACCACTGCAGGCCAGGAAATACATTTTAAGGTGTAGTAGGATAAGGAATACTCTTTCTTTTTCTTTTTTTTGAGAGAAAGTCTCGCTCTGTCACCAGGCTGGAGTGCAGTGGCACGATCTCGGCTCACCGCAACCTCTGCCTCCTGGGTTCAAGTGATGCTCCTGCCTCAGCCTCCAGAGTAGCTGGGATTACAGGCGCCCGCCACCATGCCTGGCTGATTTTTGTGTTTTTAGTAGAGACAGGGTGTTACCATGTTGGCCAGGATGGTCTCGATCTCTTGACCTTGTGATCCACCCACCTCAGCCTCCCAAAGTGTTGGGATTACAGGCGTGAGCCACCTCACCCAGCCGGGAACACCTTAAGCTAACAGCTACTGGACTTGAACTTCACCAGGGTGGGTGTTTTATGGCCAGCTGTCTTGTTGATTGCTGCAACCTAGAACATGGCCGGGCACATGAGGTGTTTGTTCACATTTGACTACCAGCCATCCGAGCAGAAGACAAAGACCACCTTTTCATAAAGATGGAACCTCCAAAATGGAACCAAACCCAACACAGTCATAAATACAGTTTTATAAAATAGGCGCAGGACTTTTGGCCTTTAACTCCAAACCACATGGGCTCCAGTCCCAAGTTCCAGGATTGGGAGAGAAAGCAAACACAAGGTTGTGGCTTTATCACTTGGCTTCAGTTCCCTTCTGCAAAGAGCTGAATGCTGTTGTTCATTAGTGAGAGAAAGCTTTATTGCCTTGTGCAAAAGAGCATTTCAAGTCAAGGTAGTCAGTCACACTTCGGCGAGTCCTGCTCACATAGGAACCCGGGGTAGAAGAGGTACTTTAAGTTGTACTCAGTTTGGGCTAAGCAGTTAGCAATCTCCTGGTCACACTTGCACAAGAGTTCTTGGCATTTGTTCTCTACTGGTCCTGGAAGAAGTGGGGAAGCTAAGGTTAGAGCAGGGACCTGGAGAGACTCAAGGAAAACCAGTAAAGCAGGAGGCAGGACGGGTCATAAATTACATTTCTGAGACACTTGACAGTCCAACACGTGATCTCCACATGCACAACTCCCCAGGAAGCAGGTGATGTCAGCC